TTTTTTTTTTTTTTTTTTTATCGGTCGTGGGGCTTGAATTCTGGGCCTGGGCGCTGTCCCTCAGCTCTTCAGCTCAAGGTGAGCGCTCTACCACTTGAGCTAAAGCGCCACTTCCGGTTTTCTGGTGGTTTATTAGAGATAGGAGTCTCACAGTCTCTCCTGCCTGGGCTGGCTTTGAACTGAGATCCTCAGATCTCAGCCTCCTGAGTAGCTAGGATTACAGGCGTGAGCCACCAGTGCCCGGCTTGTCCATGAGACTCTTATCTCCAATGGAGCACCAGAAAACCAGAAGTAGAGCTAGGGCTCAAAGTGGTACAGCACTAACTTTGAGCAAAGAAAGAAAGAAAAACAAAAGCCACAGGATTTGGCAGGGAACAGAGATTTGCCGCCCAAAGATGGAAGGGTGGATGTGGTGGAACAAAGGCCTGAAATCCTCCTATGTTTTCTTCCTGCTGCTCTCCTGGAACTTCTTGTTGAGACTGGTTGACAGTCTCATTGAAGTTCAAGGCAATGAGTTAGATGTTCAGTAGAACTTCCTGAGGGCAAGAGGACAAGGCAGGGTCATTTTCTAAGCCCTTGTGAGGCCTAGGAGAGGCCTGTATCCTTGAAAACTTGAGGACAGCCTTTCCTAGGACAGGGCAAGGGTTAGGTTGGCAGTACTGGGATTTGAACTCAGGGCCTTTGGCACTTGCTAGGCAGACCCTCAACCACTTGATCCATGCCCGTGGCTGGCATTTGTTGTATTGAGACAGATTCTTAGTGTAGCCTAAGATGGTCTCCTATTTGCATACTCTAGTGCTAACTCCCAGTAGTTGTTGGACGTTCAACTCCCCACCCCAACCCTGGAACTGTAGCTCTATCTGTTGGGCACTATGCATTGGCTACTCTGCCCAAGGGCAGAGCAACCTATCTATCTATCCAAGGCCAACATCAAGGGGACTGGCCAGTCTCAAGCCCAAAGACAATGAAGACAGGAGCTGGGTGGAGCTGTATCCATCCTCTTCACAGGGGCCTATGATGAAGGATTCCTGCTGAAGAGCTGCCTTACAATGGGGTGCAAGACTCACCAATTCTGTCTGACTCTCCATCTCCTCCCCCAAATAAGGATATTGAGGATACACGAGATAGGTCTTAGCTGGCTCCAAGGCAAAGTATCAAGGGGAGTTTACTTGTCAGTACTCCTCTTAAGAGTTTCTGTGAAAGCCGGGCGCTGGTGGCTCACGCCTGTAATCCTAGCTACTCAGGAGGCTGAGATCTGAGGATCGCGGTTCAAAGCCAGCCCGGGCAGGAGAGACCGTGAGACTCCTATCTCCAATAAACCACCAGAAAACCGGAAGTGGTGCTGTAGCTCAAGTGGTAGAGCACTCGCCTTGAGCTGAAGAGCTGAGGGACAGCGCCCAGGCCCAGAGTTCAAGCCCCACGACCGACAAAAAAAAAAAAAAGAGTTTCTGTGAAGGCAAAGAGAAATGCCCACCTCCACCCCGTTTCATTTCCCTCCCCCCCGCCCCCAGCCAGGGGATGGGCCTGGCCAGGTCCCTTTCCTGGTCATAGAATCCTCCCACCAACTCATGTTTAGGGCAATCAGATGCTCCCAGGCAAGGGCATTGTAATAAAGACACTGCTTTTATTTAGTTCGATATGTTTCTATACAGAATGCAGAAAAACACATCTTAAAATCATATAGAAGGAAATAAAAACACATCAGTGGTTGGTGAACAACTTGAATGGGAGATTGGCTCTCCGTCTCAGAGTCCAATGGCCATTACCAGCCCAGTGCTCAGGGAGGAGGGTGCCTGCGAAGGCATTGTTACGGTTGTTATTCTGTTCACTGCCCCGTTGCCTCCGGTTGCTATGGCAATGAGCCATTCTGGGCCAGCCTCTTCTCTGCGTGGCAATGCCCAATGGTGGGGTTGCTAAGGGCAACGGAGCGATTTGGAAGGCCTTTTCAAAGCCCTCACCTGGAACATTGGGGGGGATTGTTTGTATTTCTTGACAAGGTCATCAGCAATTCCACCAGGTCAGATCCCACTTGCGTTCGCTCAGTCTGAGGCGTCAGGGAAAACTCCCAGCGTCCATCTGGGACTTGGGAGGCACAAGGCCTGGCCATCAGCCATCCTTGGAGCACTCATCTACAGACTGTCCCCACAACATGGGCACGGCTCACTCCCGAGTACCCTGCTAAAGGAGCTTGGGGTGGGGGGGGGGAGGCGGGCCAGGAGAGGGGAAGGGGTGGGGGCCCTGTGGGAGAAGGCCCCAAGGGAACCACACTCTTTGGAGAACAGCAGAAGAGAGATCTGCTGCTCCTTCCCCTCTGTGACAAGTCAGTCGATTATGGCTTAAGAAAGAGCTGCTCCGGGTGCAAATGGAGCCTGGGTCCAACCCATCCACCCTAGATCAGGGAAGGGATACATTATTGCGAAAGGCATTCCTCCCTACAAGGTACCCCAAAATAACTCAAGACGTCAACAAAGTCATGCTCAAAATGGGTTTCTTCCAAAAAGGAGGAGAGAACCGAAGCCGAGTGGGTGCTCCTGAGTCATGGGACAGAGATGCAGATGGATGGACGGATATTCTGCTAAAAAAAGGCAAAAGAAAAAAGAAAAGGAAAGGGAGAAAAAAAAAAGTCCCAGTGTAATTCTAGAATTGAACCCTTTAGGAAAAAAGTGGGGGGGGGGAGGATCAAAATGAGCAAAGCCGTCAGTTCCGTGGATTTGACACTAAGAGCTTGTACAAACTGCCGTTTTTAAGCATTACCGTTTTTTTCTTTTTTTTTTTAATAAAACAATTTGAGGCTGTATAAAAACTTGAGTAAAAAATTAGCTTTGAGAGCCCACAGATTTTTTTTTTGTTTTTGTTTTTTTAAACTATGAACTATTGCTGGCACACTCTGCCCCAAGCCACCAGACCCTTTCCGGCAGCTGGTTCGAGGCCCGAGCCTGGGGACTGGGGCGCCAGAGAAAAGGGATGGGGTTAGGGGTGTGTGTGGGGGGTGTCAGGGTGGGGATGTGGACTGGTGGGACAAAGCGGCCAAGGTCAAGTGAGAAAAAAGAGCATCACATGACATAAAAATATTGCATCTTCACCAAAAGGTCCCCCACTGAGTGTTTCAAAAACCATGGTGTTCCTTTTTGGGAGGGAGGGGTGGTGGGGGAAACCACAGAGAGAAGGGGGAAAAAAGAAAAAAATTGGTTGATGTGGTCGAGTCCCTCGACCTCCTCAAGCACACCCCCCCACCCCCCACGAGCAGCTGGCCCACCTTGGAGCACCTAGATTGGGGGCCACAGCCATCACTGCCTCTTGGAGTCCCTTTCTCCATGGAAATGAAGACCCCCCTGGGTGGCAGGCCACTAGCGTGCATGGGGTAGAGGTGGACATGTCTTCGGCCCAAGAGGCCCCTCTGGTTTCCGGCCCCTGGCAACGGTGGGAGAGCAAATCCAGCACCAGGGCCCTGGCCCCCTAAGCCAGGGCCAGGAGGCCCCCCAGTCAGGCTCTGGGAGATCAGAGCAACCAAGGTGACCAAAGTGTGAAAAAATAGGATTCCTTTGATAAAAAATACTGTCCCTTGGTCTTCTCTTTTTAAGTTTGAAACACCCTGGGAGCTTATTTTTAGCAAAGCAATTCCCCCTTTACCCACCCCCAAATTATACATCACAAGTGTAGGTAAACAGCAGATTAAATGTAAAAACTGAAAACCGTAACTTCTGAAAAGTCCTTTTGACTTGAAATCTTTAGCTACTGTTCTCCATGTTACGACCTGCAGCTAGACACACGTGAATAGAAAAAACAGTACAGTTAGTGTTAAAGGCAAAACGCAGAGGGCTGGGGGGGCGCGCCCAGCACTGCCTGCAAGTTCATTCACGGTTCCTCGCTCCCCCTCCAGCTACTTCTACTCCAACAGTGCTTTCAGAGCCAGCCATCAAAAACGCAGCGAAGAATTGTCTATGAACAAACAAAAAGCTGTTAGGCAAAAAAAAAAAAAAAAATTAAAATTAAAATTAAAAATTAAAAAAAAAGTCCCCAAAGTTTCTCCAGCTGCTTTGGGGGGTTTGGGAGGACCAGAGAGGGCGGGCTTTGTCCAGGCCCTGTTTGTGTCAGTGTGTGCTAGGTTGGGTGTTGGCTACCGGTGGGCGATGGGTCTGTGGGCCACCGGTCTCCACAGACAACACACCCCTGCCCTACCCCTGCCTCCACCCAGGCGCTTGTGAGTTAAGGGGGGACGTATGGAGGGGGTGACCGGTACGGGGTCATGTTCTTGGGACGGGAGCCCTTGCCCTCCATGGGGGCCGTGAAGGGTGGGGGCGGCTGGTAGGGAGGGGCGTTAGGATCCTCATCCCGTAGGGGTGTGTACTCTCCCACGGTGTCCTGGTTCAGAGGAGTGGTCTCGGGCACGCTCTGGTTGGGGTACTCAGGCGGGGGGAGGGGGGCCTTCTCCTCCTGCAGGATGAGTGGCATGCTAGAGGAGGGTGGGGGCTTGGAGTCATCTAGCTCATCGGCAAAGATGATCGGCACCCCCTTCTTGATAAAGGTGGCCTGGTCCTCGAGGGTCAGCTTGCCCTTTCGCTTCTTGCGATAGCAGATCATGGCAATGATGCCAGCGATGAGCAGGATGGCCGCGACCACCACGGCTGGGATGACTGTGTGGAGGTAAACGTCATCCTCACTGCTCTTCTCGGGGTCCCTGTCTGGCACCTCTGTGGGTGGCACAGTGGAGGGTAACTTCTTGGACCCCACGGGGATAAACTGCAAGTGCTGGCAACTGCCGGCACCGGTCACGGCAATGCTCAGGGCCTTAAAATCAGGCTCCAGGGCGTTGGAGAAGGCAGGCCGAGGTTTCCCCGTGTCATCGGCAATCCTCCGGCTCAGTCCCGTGATCTGCTCCTTGGGACAGGGCTCCAGGGGTAGTGTGTTGTTGGTCCACTCCACGACGATGGAGCCCCGGGTGATGTTCTGTAGGGTGATGGTGCTGCAGTTTCGGTCCCCGAAGGCAAAAGCCAGCTTCTTTACCAAGGCGATTTTCTTGTGGATGTCATTCACTAGGGGCACTGGGTCACCAGTAAACTTGGCCTTGAACCTTGCAGGGGCCTTGTCCCCTTGGGGGCGCTTATGGACATGGATCTCGAAGGCATCCACGGCCGACAGGCCCCCCTTGTCTGTAGCGTGCATGAAATACTCATGTTTGCCCACGTGGCTGCTGTCGGGCAGGCCGTACATTAGCTGGCTGTTGCTGTTGAACTGCACCCAGGACTTCTCGCCTACCAGCTGCTGCTCGCGCAGCTTCAGGGTCAGCTTTAGCTTGTCGGTGGTGGTGTCCTCGAGGTCATAGAAGGTGTCTGATGGGATCTTCACCTCAAAGTAGGTGCCCACCCAGGCGTCTACCCGGTCGATGTGATTCTTGAGCTCTGGGCGCTGGTTGGGCTCCCCACCACGAGGCACGCCGCTGGTTGTGGTTCGGATACGAGTGGGTGGGGAGGCCGTCTCCAGTCTGGTGATGGGAGCTTTGGTGGTGACTCGGGGCACTGGGCGGGGGGTCCGAGGTTTCTTGGTTGGCCTGCGAGTCGTGGTGGCTGAGGAATCAGTCGAAGGCGTGGCTGGTTTGGGGGTAGATACTCGGGGCTTCTTGGTGGTAGTGGTGGGAGGCGTAACCACTGCCGTGGGCTCCACGTAGCCAGGAATGGTCATGGTTGGACGAATCTGGCCGGGAACCATGGTGCCAGCTTCTGATACCCGCGTGGGCTGGATAGGGCCCAGGGTGGGGGTCTGAATAATGGCACCTCGAGTCCGAATGGTTACCGTGGGCTTCCCGGGAACGGGCTCCCTGACGGGAGGAGCCAGGGTCTCTGTGGGAGGAGCGATGGCTGGTGATGTAGGGGTGGGCACGATCCTGGATGGTGGCTCCTGGATGGCTGTGGTTGGGGGTCCGATGGCAGTGACGGGCGTGGGTGTGGCATGGATCTGCCGCCGGATCCGTTTGGGAAGAGGGGGCTTCTTGTTGGCAATGTGCCAACCCACCACCGGATAGCCGAGCTGGGCAGACATAGCGCCCTCCCGGGCAGGGGCCTCGACGCTACGAATGTCAGGCACACTGTTCTGGTTCAAGGAGCAGCCCAGCTTCCAGGAGAGTAGAGCCCCATTCTCTACCACCTTCTTTGCGTTGCCGGGGCCGGCCATGAAAGCGGACATGTCGAATAGTCTATTATTCACCACTGGCACCAACTTCATGTTGTGAAGCTCCACCTCTGAGAAGCTGCGCATCCTGTGCAGAAGGTCGAGCCTCTGCTTTGGGGTCATCTTGGTGAGGTCAGCATCTAGAATCACTGTTAGGACCGTCACTGGCTCGTCAGCAGCACAAGCAGAAGACACTATGTCACCAGGGTCTGGCGACGCCGCCCTCACAGACTGGGGCTCACTGTGGTCCTCGGGGTAGACTTCAATGGAGAACACACTGGAGGTCTGGGGGACGTGACTGCCATTGGCGCCCAGGCGGGCAGCACTCACTGAGATATAATGCACACCCTTATCGGTGTCAAGGGGGAGGCCTTCCAGGGTGTGACTTTGTGGGTCCCAGTGAAGCCAAGATGGCAAGGCCTCCTTCCCAGCTGTAGACACCTAGGTGAGACACAAGCATGAGTTACAACTGCGTACCACAAACATGTTCACTGTACTTAACGCCTGGCCCCGCCGGAGTTCTGTGCCAAGCTGATGAGAACAGGGTGATTCCACTCCAGTTTTCATGAAAGCAAGTTACAACATTCCATTTTAAGTAGAGACATCAGAGTTGGAAAAAATGGTGGCTCTCCGCATGGCATGATGGCTTGTGCATATATATCCAGTCTTACCGACTGGAGAGGTGAGCCAGGGATTTGGGACCAGCCTGGGAAATACCACCCAAGGAAGAAAAGGAGGAACTGGGGGAGCTTTATTTTGACTGACAACAGCAATTTGACTTCTACAGGAACCTGGCCAAGTCACAGGCAAGCTGGCACGTCTGGATTTTCAAGGCCATTAGGGAAAGTCTAAGGATGCCTGAAAGGCTGGCGGCATCCATGATCGCTGGAGAGTCCTTTCCCACCGGCAGTTCCCCCTGCTCAAAGACACTCACTTCGGCCCTCACTCACCATAGAGACGCTTAAAGATGAAAACAAGACCTTCTCACCTATAGGAACTCTCGATTCCCTCTCCAGCTTTCAAAACTTAAGAGGCCCTGGAGCACCTCTCCTCTTCCCGGTGCCAAGTGGTGAAGCAAAGGATGGGGAAATTCCTTTTAAGAGACAGTAGCCTTCAGACAATACAGGATTCTATCCCCATAATCACAGCCTAATAGAAAGAAGCCCCATTTGCCTCTATGACTCCAAGCTCCAGGCAGGTTGAGGCCTGACTCCAAGTTAGCTCTTACTGTCCTCATTTAGAACTGGGAGAAATGATCCTATCCTCATAGGAGTATAGGACAAGGCACATACTGACAGCCAGTTCTGATTCCTTCCTGCTCCTGTGGACAGTCAGGAAACTAACTAAATAATGCCATACCAACAGGCTCAAGGCATGTCCAAGTTCCACTCCCCAGTCTTTCTTCCCAGATGACTTTGGACCCAAGGCACAGTGGAACCTTATCTCTCTGTTCATAACCCAAAGCATAAAAGGAAATGGGGCCTGAAGGTCAGGGGAAGGCTAGGATCTGATGAGAAACCAGGGAGAGGCTAGGAACAATCAGGGAGCTGCTTGCCTGCCAAAACCTGTCTGGCTAGGAGTGGGTGAAGCTGAGGAACATGAGGAGAGAAGAGGACTTGCTACAAGTGAGAGCCCAAAGCACAATATTCATGCAGCTGTCTGATTCCACCTCCACCTCTGATAGAGCACAGATGCTTCTGGGTAGAGCAGGAGCCAGTAGGGGTTGGGCAGCAACATCTGAGGCTAGAGGGAACTCCTCACTGCACCCTTTCCTAGCAAGGTCTCTACCTTCCTTCAGAGCTGGTCAATGCAACGACTCCTGATCATTCAGCTCCCTCTCCTTCAGTTCCCTCGCACCTCAGCCACACTGCAGAGCTGGGCCAACCTGCAGCCATCTATTGGCCATGGACCATAGACAACACTTTGGAAATACTGGAAAATGAGGTGGCCATCGGACTGCTTTCTTTACACAGTGAAGGAAGCAGGAAATAGTCCCTTTCAAGAAGTCTGAGTCTTGCTGCTGACTCATACCCAGGATGCCCTGTTCCTGTGCCATGAACTGCAATGGTGAGCCGAATCTGCTCAGAGCCTCCTGCAGATGAGGAACACAGCCACCATATGGCTGGGCCACAGGGAGACGGACGGCACAGTTTTAGCTTGGACTAACTACGGACCTAGGTCTTTCTCCTTAGATGAGGTACAGTACCAGAGTGGAAAAGGACTCAGGTAAAGCAGAGGCAGACCCATGGTTCAGCGGGTAGACAAACAGTATCAACCTGCACTTGGCTCCTACCACAAGGCCACAGACCACATTTTGAACACATTTGTCCAACCCAGCCAGTTCCCTTCTCATCTGAGCTACAAACCATTTGACCCGATGCAAACTGGTCTCAACTAAAAACAAAATCTCTTCCCTTCCAAAGTGAGGTGCCCGGTGGCTCACAATTGTAATCTTAGCTACTCGGTAGGCTGAGATCTGAGGACCATGGTTCAAAGCCAGCCAGGACAGGAAAGTCTATGAGACTCTTATCTCCAATTAACCAGCAAAAAGTTGGAAGAGGAGGTGTGTATCAAGCCACAGACCACTAGTCTTGAGCAAACAAGGGCAGGCGGCAGGACAAGCACAAAATCAGTCTTTCCATCCCAATCCCTAACATCACCTGTTTTGTCCTGTTCTTTCCAATTTCTTGTCAGTAATGCCAGTACTAAGGCTTGAATTCAAGGTCTTGCGCTCACACTTGGTTTTTTCACTCATGGTTAACACTCTTACCAATTGAGCCACATCTTCACTCCCTGATTTTTGCTGGTTACTTACTTATCTAGTTTGTAATTTTTTATTTTCCCCCAGTCGAGGGGCCTGAACTCTGGGCCTGGGCGCTGTCCCTCAGCTCTTCAGCTCAAGGCTAGCGCTCTACCACTTGAGCCACAGCGCCTCTTCTGGCTTTTTCTGCTTCTGTGGTGCTGAGCAATTGAACCCAGGGCTTCATGAATGCAAGGCAAGCACTCTACCACTGAGCCACCTTCCCAGCCCCTGTAAATTTTTTTTTTTAAACACAGAAGCCTATATTATCATTAAGTATTTGAGTTGATGAAATCTGGGGAAATTCTATTCTGACAGCCCACTATCAAGGATGCCTTCCTTTGCCAACCCACATTTCCTGGTGTGGTGTGCCATGCTCACACAAGGGTCTCATTCAGAGCCAGGGAACACCCACTTGAGGCAGGAAGAAACTGCAGTTCATCTCACGCAGGCAGGGTTGCCACAAAGCTCTCAAGCATCCAGAGAAATACTCCTTTCATGAACTCCTCTTCCTGGCTAAAAAGAGTATCCATTGTTACCAGGGGAACAATTAGAAGGCCCATGCCAGCAGCTGAGAGCACAGTCCCAGAAGGGCTGCTCCCAGCCTGCGGACATCTTGGGTTGAGGGCAAGTCCACATTGTTTGCAGGCTAGGAGGCTGAGAGGAACTAGGAATGAAAACCTCCACGAGCTTCATCAAAAGGAGACAGGGGAAGGGGACTGACTGTCGCTAGGTAGCCTAGTCGATTCATGCAAAATAAAGACATCTCTCCCTATCATCCTAAGAGGAAGAACTAAACCTGAGCTTCTGCAGCTCTTGGAGGAGCAGGCTGAGTGCCAAGGAGGGACCCCACTCCATGAGGGTTGCAGGCCACCACCATGATGTTAGCTGAGGCATAGCACAAATGAGGCAACTGTGGAGCCTCACTCAGCCGGAAATGAGGTTGTTCTGGGGTCCTGTGATTCCTGACTAGGTGTGAGCCGGCTTGCCTTTTTTGGAAACCACATCAAACAGAAAGGGCTGTAATTTCTTCCTTCCCCCCCTCATTTAGAATCCTGGGTCCCTAAGCTGACTACATTGAAAATTATTAGAACCTCTGGGAAAACATGTTGTTTTGTGTACATAAGGACATGTTTAAGTGAATCAGACACTTGATAAAAGAGTATACAAAAGAACAGATACTGTAATTCTGAACTTCTAAGCTGGCACACGTTTCAAGTGATCAGATGCTGGTATTAGTGTTCCACTCTGGAGACAGTTATCAGTTGGGAGGTTTTCATATTCTTATGGACCTGGTATTTTCCCAGATTTTTTTGGGGGGGGGCAGGGAGGTATGGGGGGGGTCTTGAACTCTGGGCCTGGGCGCTATCCCTGAACTCTTCAGCTCAAGGTGAGCTCTTTTGCCATTTGAGCCACAGCACCACTTCTAGTTTTCTGGTGGTTAACTGGAGATTAGAGTCTCACGGACTCTCCTGCCTAGGCCGGCTTTGAACCACAATCCTCAGATCTCAGCCTCCTGAGTAGCTAGGATTATAGGCATGAGCCACTGGCACCCAGCTATATTTTCCCAGATTTTAAGTAATTCTTCCCATTCCTGCCTGATCAGTTTTCTTTTCTTTTCTACTTTGTAGACTAGGTTATTTAGATAGGAGGTAATTACTGACCAAGAAGAAAGGAGGTGGGGGGGAGAGACACCAGATCAAGTGACAGTCCTAAGAAAGAAAACAGAGACAAAGTACTCAAAAAAAAAAAAAAAATTAACAGGAGGCTATCACAAGAACACACGAACCTACTTAAAGCTGTTCCCAATGGCCAAATCTAAGATAATTTTAATACCAGAATAAATAAGGCAACAATAAGTTATAAACCATTCAATATTGGAAAATGGTTAAATGCCAGGTGCTGGTGGCTCAAGCTTAGTCTTTTGCTGAACCTAGCATAGGCTAGTTTTTCTCTTGTGTATGACCAGTAAGGCTTTGATAATCAAAGCAATGGGTACTAACAGGGTAGATTTTCATTCCCCCTTCCAGATCATAAATACTTGAGACTCTACTAGATAACAGAAATGTAACCAAAATGTACGAATTCGAAGGACAGGTTTTGGGTTTGTTTTTTTTTTTAAGCAGGATCTCAATCTACAGTACAGACTGTAAATCAGTCTCCTAAGTGTTGGGATTATAGGCATGATTTAGGAAATCACTGCCATGGGCAGGAATCAGCAAACTATGGCCATAGGCAAAATGTGGCCCACCACCTATTCATACGTGACACGTCTTTTTTTTTTATTGTAAAGATACTATACTAGAGGGTTACAGTTACAACGTCTTTTCTACTTTCAAATGATTAAGGATGCCGGGCGCTGGTGGCTCACGCCTGTAATCCTAGCTACTCAGGAGGCTGAGATCTGAGGATCGCGGTTCAAAGCCAGCCCGGGCAGGAGAGACCATGAGACTCCTATCTCCAATAAACCACCAGAAAACAGGAAGTGGCGCTGTAGCTCAAGTGGTAGAGCGCTCGCCTTGAGCTGAAGAGCTGAGGGACAGTGCCCAGGCCCAGAGTTCAAGCCCCACGACCAACAAAAACAAAACAAAAAACAAAAAAAAAATTAAAGAAAAAAATATTTTTCAACATATGTATGTAATTATATTTTCATTTTCAGTATACCTAAGTTTTATTGGAACATAGCCTACCCATTCAATTACGTGCTGTCTACATGTTTTGTATTATATTGGTGATCTGAAGAGTTAAAGAGAAACTGTATGAGCCTGCAAAGCCTATAATATTTGCTATCTATCACTGTAGGAAATTAGTGTGCTAACTTCTACTCTAGATGATATTCAAAATTAAAGGATATATTCCATCTGCCTGCCTACCATATAAATGTACTCAGAGTTGAGGGGAAATTTTAGGATTCCAAAGCAGATGGAACCAGTTTTCCTTCACACAAAAGCTTCCTTTTTCACCCAATCTCCATCCTGGTGCATCAGCCAGGACATATGTCTCAGATCCCTTGTTCTCTGGATTGCTTCCCCGAAAGTGGCAACGCTAAAGATTGAGTTCTTTGGGTTCTCAAATGGTTAAAAACCACATTAGATATAAATCAACCAGCAAACTAAAGTATGTGCACGCCCATACATGCACACACATGTACACTTCTAATCTTATTTTGTAAGTCCTGGGACTTGAACTCAGGGCCTGGGCCCAATCCCTGAGCTTTCTCACTCAAGGCTAGTGCCCTACCACTATGAGCCACAGGAATACTTCTGGTTTAAGTGGAGATAAGAGTCTCATAGACTTTCCTGCCCAGGCTGGCATCAAACCACAAACCTCAGACCTCAGCCTCCTGAGCAGCTAGGATTATAGGCATGAGCCACTGGTGCCTCGTCAATTTTTTTTTAATTTACATATATTTTTTTAGTGCTGTGGATTGAACCCAGAGCGTTATGTACAATAGACAAGCACTCTAACACCAAGTCACATTCCTGGCTGTATCTTGAGGTTTGTTTGTTTGTAGTTGTGGGTCTTGAATTCAGGGCATGGGCACTATCCCTGAGCTCTTTTGCTCATGGCTAGTGTTCTACCATTTTGTGCCACAGCTCTGCTTCCAGTTTTTCAATGGTTAATAGGAGATAAGAGTCTCACAGGGGCTTTTCTGCCTGGGCTGACTATAGTCCTTAGGATTTCAGCCTCCTGAGTAACTAGAATTACAGGCATGAGCCACTGAGTGTCCAGCTCTTGGTTTGTTTGTTTTTGATGCCTGTTGTGGGGCTTGAACTCAGGGCCTGGACATTTTCCCAAAGCTTGTTGTGCTCAAGGCTAGCACTCTACCAATGAGCCACAGTTCTACTTCTGGCTTTTTGGTGGCTAACTGGAGATGAGTATCATGAACTTTCCTGCCTAGACTTCGAACCTTGATCCTCAGATATCAGCTCCCTGAACAGCTAGGATTATAGGCATGAGCCATCTTGGGTTCAATTCCTCAGCACCACATAAAGAGAAAAGGCTAGAAGTGGTGCTGGGGTTAGTAGTACAGTGCTAGCCTTGAACAAAAGAAGTACCCAGGCCCTGAGTTCAAGCCCCAGGACTGGCAAAAAAACAAAAAACAAAACAAAAAAACAAAAAACAAAACCACCTCAGGGATAGCACTTCGGCCCTGAGCTCAAGCCCCAGTATTGGCACAAAAAGTAAATAAAAAATAAAGAAAAGGAGAAAAAGTTCAGTCAAACCAAGTACTAATGGCTCAAATCTATAATCCGAGCTACTTGAGAACCTGAATTCTAAAGACTATAGTTCAAAGCCGGACTGGGCAGATAAACCCAGAAGACTCACCACAGAACTGAACAAATGGTAGAGGGCCAGCTACGAAGAAAAACAACAATCAAGGGCTGGGAAGGTGGCTCAGTGGTAGAGTGCTTGCCTTGCATGCATGAGGCCCTGGGTTCGATTCCTCAGTACCACATAAGCAGAAAAAGCCAGAAGTGGCACTGTGGCTGAAGTGGTAGAGCATAGCCTTGAACTGAAGAGCTGAGGGACAGCACCCAAGCCCAGAGTTCAGGCCCCACGACCAAAAAAACAACAACAACAACAACAATCAAGACCACAAGACCCTGCGTTCAAGCATCAGTAGCAGCACATGTATATGTGTACATGTGCTCATGCGCCTATGCGTGCGCACACACACACACACACACAGAGTTCAAAGTACTTACAAGTTCTGTATTTTAGAGTTTACCACTATGGTTTAGGAAAGGTGACTTTTTTCTTATACACATGCCAGGCTTTTTAACAAAAATCCCTAAGCCAACAACCAAGAGACTTTCCACAGTGCATAGTAATGGCTTTTCCATGTGGTGAGTCCTTCAACATGGGAGCAAACCAGAATTACTGCAGCCTGCCTATAACTGAGAGCTTAGGAAAAGGCATCAAAATTAAAATGGAAGATGAGAATCCCTCATTTGCACTTCATATCCGGTCTCACCTTGATTATTTCTCCACTGGAGGCAATTAAATCTGTTGGAATGGTCACTCGAAATGAGCGGCCGACGACAGCTGTGCCATCAGGAATGCCAACCACGGTGGGAACAGCCTCATGAAGGTCGGAAAGCACAGAGTGCATGGATGCCTCCAGTTGGTTCTCCCAGTCCCTGACGGCTTCTGAAGGGTCACTTGGCCAGCGGGATTGCGCCATGGCCATGAAGAGTAGAAGGAGAAAGGTCCTCCCCCAAAGGGGGAGCAGTGAGTGGCCCACAGACATCTTTAGCATGGGCTTGAGTTTGCTCAAGCTGATGATCTTGCTAAGGAAGGAAGCAAGTGATATGGTCCCGGAGTTGGGTCCTCACCCTCTGTATACTTTCTCCATCCCAGAACACCCAGAGTCTGTAAAAGAAGAAGAGGAGATTCACATTTCAGCAATGGTCACTCTTTCAAAGTCATGTACTATCCCCCAATGCTTCTGCCAAGAATGTCTACCCTGTCTCACATACTGCACCATGAAGCTACTACTCTAGTCCGCTAATTATATTGTTCTATACTTCAGTGAATATGTGAACACCAAAATTAAAAATATGACATTTAAATCATTCAAAGAAAAAAGGAAATACTTAGGCAGAAATCTAGCAATGTATGTCTAGAATTTGTATACTGAAAACTATAAAACGCTGTTGAAAGAAAGCAAAGATTGAAACCCACAGTAAAAACATTGATGCCCCTAAATCAGTATATAGGCTGTGAGTAAATAACAACCACTAGAAGATCTCAGGCCCTAATCCCTGAAACCTGTAAAGATGTTATAAAGAAAAAGAGTCTTTGCAAAGGTGATTAAAGTAAGAGTCTTGATGTGGTGAGATTATCTGGGTAGGATCTAAATTCAATCACCATTGTCAGAGGAAATTACTGTGGGGTCCCTCCTCCCCACCACCCTACCCCCTCCCCACACACAGAATGAGATAGAGATGTGAAACAGAGATACTGACGTGAAACCTAAGGCAGAGACTGGAGTGCTGAAGCCACAAACCAAGGAATGTCAAAGAATGCTGGCAGCCACAAAAAGTTAGAAGCCCCGAACAGGAAGTGGCGCTGTGGCTCAAGTGGTAGAAGACTTGCCTTGAGCTGAAGAGCTCAGAGACAGCACCCAGGCCCAGAGTTCAAGCCCCAAAACCAACTAAAAAGAAAAAGAAAAGAAAAAAGGAAGAAAAGACAGAAGCAAGGAATAGATTCCCCCCCAGAGCCTCCAGAGGGAGCTCAGTCCTTGCCAACACCTTCATTTTGGACTTCTGGAGACCAGAACTATAAGAGAATAAATGTGCATGCTATTTGAAGCCACTAAGGCTGTGAAAATCTTTTTACAGCAGCCCTAGGAAATTAATACAATGTTTAACATAACTCATATTAAAACCTCACTAAGGTTGAACCACTACTAAATATCCCCATGCTGCTGATCACATGTATGGTGTATAACATGTGAACACTGTTATATATTACAGACTATGATAGACAATTTGCTCCAGGAAAGTTAGAATGAACTTGTGACTTAGAAATCATGTAATCACTTAATCACAATCAAAAAAAAAAAAGAACTTCAGGGAAGGGAGGGAGAGAGGGGATGGTAGGGGGAAAACAATGGAGGGGCTAACAATGTTCAAGAGGAAGTGTACTCATTACCTCACTCATGTAACTGTAACCCTCTGTATAGTATCTTTACAATAAAAAAAAAAAAACCTCACTAAGAAGCTGGGAGCTGGTGGCTCATGTCTGTAATTCCAGCTGAGATATGAGGATCGTGGTTCAAAGCCAGCCCAGGCAGGAAAGTCTATGAGACTTTTTGTTTTGTTTTGTTCTTACCAGTCCTGAGGTTTGAACTCAGGGCCTGGACACAGTCCGTGAGCTTCTTTTGCTCAAGGCTAGCACGCTACCACTGAAGCCACAGTGCCACTTCTCAAGAGACACTTATCTCCAATTAACTACCAGGAAACTAGAAGTGGAGCTGTGGTTCAAGCACTAGCCTTGAGTAAAAGTGCTCAGGACAGTGCCCAGGCCCTGAGTTCAAGCCCCACAACCAAAAAAAAAAAAAAAAAAAAAAGCACTGTATGTGTTCTATCTCCAGCAATGCAAAACTAAAAGACAGAGAGAGATGAGAAAAATTAAAAATACATAAACCATATAGAAAAAACATATAAATTACGTTGTCTATGAATTAATATACAAGAAATAAAACTTTGCACTTGATCATAAAAACTGCCAAATTCAGGATTATAATCACTTGAAGAGAAAAAGGGGAATCTCATAAGGGTCTCTAACTTTAGAACTTACTTCCTCAAACAGACAGCTTTTTGTTGTTGTTTTTGTTTTGTGCAATATCAGGATTTGAACTCAAGGGTTCCCATTCACTTCACTTGCCTGTTCAGCTGGTATTCTACCACCTGACCCATACTTCCAGCTTTGCTTTTAGCTGATTAGAGACAGATCTTACAGGCTCTTCTGCCCATCTGGTTTTGAACCTTAATCCTGATCATCTCAACCTCCTGAGTAGCTAGAATTACAAGTGTGAGCCACTAGCATTGAGCCTCTCTCCATTTCTTGACACCTATGTTACTAAAGTTTAAATATATTGCTGTTCCTGCAAGCAGAGTGCCTGGTATATAACAAGTGCCTGGTATATAGCTCCTAAACCAGTGCTTGCACTTTGAGGGCTCACAAAAACATATCAAACACAAAGGAGAAAGGAATTAAAATTGCATGCCTCAGGTGTTTTCTAATTTGGTATGGTCCCACCCTTACTCTTCTCCTTTTCTATTGCCTTGTTCCAGCTCCAAGAGACCCTCTGCAACCAGCCAGCCCTCCCAGGACTTCAGATCCATTCCTTGCTATGACTTTTCCTCTCTAACATCAGTACACAGCTGGGTCATTTTTATCTAACACGGACTCACCAGAATTAAATGCTATATTCACTACCAAGGACCAAATGACTACAGAGACCCGACGGGAATCAATTCCAAGAAGTACTTTATTATCAAAGACATTTGCATGGTCCTCCACCAGGAAAGGCAAGGAAGGAAATATCCTGATTTCTCAATGTCTAATGTTTTTCATACTCTGGTACGAGTCTTCTCCTCAGGTACCTATATAGCACCCCAAATTTAAAGAGGTTCCTTGCTGGGCACTGGTGGCCTAGTCTATATAATGCTATCTACTCAGAAGAGATCTAAGATCTGAGGATTGTAGTTCCAAGCCTGCCCCAGGCAGGAAAGTGTATGAGACTCTTATCTTTAATTTTCGAAGCTGCCCCAGGCAGGAAAGTGTATGAGACTCTTATCTTTAGTTAACTACTCAGAAAAAGCCCCAAATGGTGCAGTGGCTCAGGTGATAGGATGCTAGCCTTGAGAAATAGCCTTGAGTGAAAGAAGCTCAGGGACAGTGCCCAGGCCCTGAGTTCATGCCTCAGGACCAGCAAGCACACATGCACACATGCATGCGCACGCACACGCGTGCATGCACACACACACAGTTTCCTCGTGTTTTATTTTTTCTATTTTTATTTTTAGTATCTTGTCCCTTTTGCAGCATTTTTATAGTGTATTGTATCATTTTTTTGTGTGTGTGCCAGTCCTGGGGCTTGAACTCAGAACCTTTTGCTCAAGGCTACCACTCTACCACTTGAGCCACAATGCCACTTCTGGCTTTTTCTGTTGATGTGGTGCTGAGGAATCCAACCCCGGGTTTTGTGCATGCTAGGCAAGCATGCTACTGCTCAGCCACATTCCCCCAACCCCTGTATCACTTTTTAATTTTTTTGTTCTATCTTAATTTATAACTTTAGTTTTGTGTATGTGTGTGTCTTGTTCTGCTTCTTACTGTTACATAGTGCTTTTTTTTTTTTTTTTGAGACAAGGTCTCCTTATGTAACCCAGGCCAGCCTCAAATTCATGATCCTCTTGCCTTCTCCTCCTGAGTGTTAGAATTACAGGCCTATAACCACACCCAGCTTACGTAGTGCCTCTTTTACTGGGCTTTTCCTTTCTTGTGCATTGTAACTCTATTTAGTAAATGGCTCAGCTCAACCAACAGCCCAACGAGACTAAATGAGGGAGGACAAGGATATATCTGTTGTAATCCCTAAAGTATGACCAGCACTCCCAAGGTATCCAGACAAGAGGAAAACACAGGCTCCTTTAAAAAGAAAAAAAACCTATATATATTTAATTTAGTTTACTTACTTTTCCCATTTTTTTTCTTTCTTTTTGTCAGTCGTAGGGCCTAAACTCTGGGCCTGGGCACTGTCCCTCAGCTCTTCAGCTCAAGGATAACGCTCTACCACTTGAGCCACACAGTGCCACTTCTGGCTCTTTTCTGCTTATGTGGTGCTGAGGAATCGAACTCACGGCCTCATGCATGCAAGGCAAGCACTCTACCACTGAGCCACCTTCCCAGCCCCCATTTTTACTTTTTTAATCTGATTCTTATTTTTTAAATCTTATGTGAAAAACAGCATGCATTAAGCGCCACACCCTGTCCTACAAGAGTATAAGCTCAGTCTGCTATCTGAGGACACAGGATGACATAGGGTGTCTATTTCATGGTCATGACTAAGTGCTCTGCATTTAGCAGGCAGGCAGGCAATGTCCAGGGCACAAGTCCAACTACTATGTGTTGGTTTTCCATGCTCTGAGGAGAAAAGATCTTTTTTGTAATTTGGCAAAAAAGAAAGCTGTGTCTTTCAGATGCTGGCTTTCTACAAACAAGGGTCAAGTCTGCTTGTGCTAGGAACTCAGTGGGCTATCTACACACCTGTGTTAGAGTGTTCCTCTCAATTTTTTTTTTGGGGGGGGAGGTTGGTCATGGGGCTTGAACTCAGGGCCTGGGCACAGTTCCTGAGCCTTTTTGTGCTCAAGGCTAGCGCTCTATCACTTTGTGCCACAGAACCATTTCTAGTTTTTTGAGTGGTTAATTGGGGAATTTTCTGCCTGGGCTGGCTTCAAACTGTGATCCTCATATCTGAGCCTCTGAGTAGCCAGGCTTATGGGTGTGAGCCACTGGCATACAGCTAGGATTTTTTTTTTTAATACAAGTCTCATATTCACACACTTGGTCACTGCTGAGATCCTTCTACTCACGTTTATAGGGATGAAGGCTTAAAGAAAGGCCAACATTCAACCATAGTCAGGAGAATAGTTAGCCAGGCACTAGTGGCTCACACCTATAATCCTAGCCACTCAAAAAGCTGAGATCTGAGGATTGAAGTTTGAAGCCACCTCAGATAGGCAAGTCCATGAGCTTTTATCTTCCCCAATTAACTACCTAAAAAGCCAGAAATGGTAGTAGCTCAAGTAGGTAGAGCACTAGGCTTGAGGACAAAAGCTTAGGAACAGTATCCAAGCCCT